GGTTGGCTTTTGGAGCTACAATAAATTGCAAAGCGCATGGCATGGAACCGATTTTAGTGCCGGAATCTGCTCTACATAAATTGCGCTATTTATTTATTTATTCCTTTATCTATCTATGCATCTATGTATCTGTGTATCTATCTATCTATCTATCTATCTATCTATCTATCTATCTATCTATCTATCTATCTATCTATCTATCTATTATTATTATTATTATTATTATTATTATTATTATTATTATTATTATTATTACGCAAACGTGTGCTTCATGTTCAGCTCATAGAAGAGTTAAAAGACATGGCTATCCCTAGCTGTCTCGAGTGTGCGCTGGGATGTACATTTCTGGAAATGTGATGTCTGCTCTGCGCCATCCTCTCACTTGTTTTTATTTCCTCGTTCTTTTTCCATTCATCATGTAACTGCAACATGACAAGAGTGTCACATTCTAAAAGACCTAGGCCTGCTCGAGCGTCGTTGGGCGGGCAACTCCTACCTAAACAGTGACAGTAAGTACGACGAGTATCGTCAGATGGTGATGATTAAAAAAGTGAAGAAATCTGTTTCCTTTTCTCATTTCTTCTTTAGTTTCTCGTTTGCTTTATGTGTTTGGGTATGCTTGAGCTTATTTTTTGCTTGTTTTTCGGGTGAAAGGGAAAACGTGGGGGGAGGGGGGGGGAGGGGGTATACTAACTTTCACATTATCTGTAGACAGCGCCAACGGTATCGGATTTTTCAGAGGATAAGTGATGGAGCTCCTGAAGCCATAACGGAGGGTAAATTAAAACTAAAATCACGCAGCGCTTAGTTGAGCCGTACGAAATTACGACTTCAGCGAACAACAAGACACAAAACTACAACAGCGATTAAAGTAAAAGAAGATGAAGGAAAATCCACAAACAGCAAGCTCAAAAGAAAGGAACAACATTATTATTTCATTAAAAACAACTTCCAGGACATATTTACTCAGAGTCTTGTTACCAAACACACCCACAAACAACACTTCTATTTAAAAAAACAACAACAACCGAATGCCATTATCAAAATGTGGAATAGCGTACACGACTGAAAAGAATTATTATTATTATTATTAATCGCACCACATTTAGAGCCATTTCGGGAACACTGAACCTCACAAAAACAAAACAAACAAAACGCAAAAAAATCCACACCAAAAATCACAAAAAACAACCCAAAATAACCCAAACAAACAAAACAAACCCCACAGAAAACGTGGGTAGAATTATTGTGAAAATACGAAAATCCCAGAGCAACCAAACATACAACTCCGTGGCAAAGAAATGGACAAATGAGATGGGATGTTTTAAGCCACAGCACACTATACCACAGAAAAGTACAACAGTGTGAATTTACACCATGTTAAGTCCACGCTATCACATCAGAACCAATAAATACCTGGCGCTCGGCTCTGTCATAACTGCGTGTCTACGTGCTCATAGCAGCGACATATAAGATCTATCACATTTTTCCTCTAGGTCGTACCAAAAGACAGGACCTATCTTAGTGCTCTACGTCATTATGTCCTAATAATGATCATATGCTCAAGTCATAGACAGGGTTGAGAACCCCAATTACGTGGTACAGGCAGTGCGACTGCTCCACAAATAAGTAGCTTGTGATCATACTTTCTTGAATTTAAACTGTAACTGTTCTTCGCTAAATGGACATGTAGGCTATAACAGAAGAAGGCCTGGATAGGGACAGGAAGCATTATATCTCTTCTATATATTATGTAAATATGTATTCTTAATTTCTAAAAGTGAATACAGCCATGTTTTCATTACCTTAATCAACTATCATGGTCCGTCCATTGTAGCGTCTGTTTACCTCATCAACTATTGATAACGCTTCTCTGCTTAATGTAATTGCGTTTAGGATTTAAGCTAAGGTGCATCCTCAGTTATGACAGCTGCCTCACACACACACACACATATCGGTGTGCTGCTCTACCTGTGATGGTTCGAGAATTTGGGGTGAACAGACCCCTGGTTTCCGCTTCCTCCTCGTTCTCCTCCTCTTCCTCCTCCTCCTCCTCTTCTTCTTCCTCCCCGCTGCAGGACCCGCATGCCTCGATGTTCACTGCCTCATCAATGAATGCAATGTTAGTGTGACCGAGCGTGGAACTAGGCTGGCAACACGCCCTAACCCCCCGATCACCACCTCCACCCCCAACTTTACCTCCCCTACTACATCTCACACGAGAACAGGTTCTGAGACTGGGGAAAGCTCCCACTTCAGGATTCATCGAACTAGGATCGTGGCCTTCTACTATTGAGACACTATAAGGGAGACTAAGGGGACTTTCATCACCGGTATCTTTATGAATAAGACGTAATTTGTCGTCTCTAGCCGTCTGCAAAGACCTTTCTTCATCATCAGATTTGCATGCACGTACACAATGAGGATGGAACCCTTTGCGCTTCGTTTTACCTTTCCGCTGTTTGTGTCTCTGACCCGAGCAACATGGCCGAGATCTAGACACAGGTACACCACGAGTAGCCGGGCTCAATTTTCTGTGACTGGACATACTTGGACTCCAAATACCTTCGTCCGGAGAATTGCGGTCAGTCACACTCGCGGCTGAGTTCGGCTCGGTGACACGTCTATCCCGGGACGCTTTCAGAATAGCAAGGTTTCTCAGTGCTCTCGCTCTGTCCTCCTTGATGGGGTCCGGTCTCCAAACACTGTAGTAGATCCCTCTCTCCGCTCCACTGTGTCCTCCACAACTTTGACATGCCCAGGATGACGAACCCGATTTGAATGCAGATGCAGGTACACTGTTGAAGTTGATGTCTGTGTTATTTTCGACCCCAACGTCTATGCAGGAATACTCTGCATACGGTTTACAGAGGGAACGCCTGTTTAAGCTCTGAAAGAGTTGGTCACTCCGGCTGGACGATCCGTTCATCGACACGTACGGTACGTGGTCCATCAGGTTGTTTGCCGCTCTCCTCAGACACGCCGGGCAGTCCAGGTCCTCCATGCTGCTTGCTGACGTTTTGCGGGATCTGAACAAACTCCGCGATTTCCTTCGGTTCTTGTTTCGGCGCTCAGTTTTCCTAACCAAGGGGATTCTTCTACTGTTCGATTGCGACATCCCAGATTCCAATCGTGCATGGTCCCCATTCCTCTCCGATCGGTCGCTGTTGGTTCTGCTGTGTTTACGTGGAGTATGCTGTCGTCTACAGCTGTGCACGTCGTCCCACTTTGGGCGAGAATCTGTCTGCAGATCCGCAGGGCTCAAATACAAATCTTCATCCAGAGCCAAAGACGACCGAGGTTCACAATACGAGTGTGTGTGCACATTCAAATCTGAGGATTTCATCTTAGGGATTTGGTTTATGGAAGAGAATCTCGAAATGTGTTTGCCGTCAGACATACTACAAAGGGTATTGTGGTTATCGCTGAGGGAGCTTTCAGAGACATGACAAGGGGGTAGGTCAGAGATGGAATGGTTCCAAGGTTTGAGGTAATGGGGTGGGCTATCCCATGGGTGAGAGTAGTAGAGAGGGTCACCGGGGCCCAGGTCTGGGTCAAGAGAGAGGTAGGTATGTGGGAGTTGGGGCAGAGGACGGGATCTGGATGACGGGTGGAGAGAGGAAGGGTGCCGAGGCATGCGACCGGAAACTGTGGAGGAACAAAACGGGAAACCAAAAATAGCATGCAGCATGCACAACTCTACTGCGCAAAAGATACCAAAAATTAAAATAAAATGAATAAAATAAAACAACAAAACTCATAAAACATTAGCTAAGTGCAAACTACTGCTTGTGATAAACCAAATGTCTAAGAAATAAAGATGAAAACACCAAGCAAATCAAAACACGATAAATCAAAACAGAACACTCTCTGTTGTGTTAAACCACAGAGGAGACTATAAAATGAAACGGCGTATAAAACAAGAGCTCAAAAAGGAAGCAAATATCTTTTAAAGCGGTGTGTAAAACAAGAGCTAAAAAAGAAGCAAATATCTTTTTTTAAAAAGAAAGAAAAGAAAATAATACACACATGTGTATATTTATACAGTGCAAGCTAAGTCTTCAAAAAGCCACCACCAATAAATGGGGCATAAAGTTTATAACTTGAGATAGCTGAATCTACCACAGCGAACACGTTGATTAATGAATGAACAGTAAAAATATCATTCGATGAAAATTTGTTGGGGGCTACAAGAACTAACTGCAGACGCCCCCCCCTCCCCTCCCCAACACACATCTCTTGTGTAATTTATTTTTCTTTTTTCAAATATTCTCCTCGCGAATAGATATTATGTTGATCCCGACTCATTCCGATCAGACAATGGTAATCATTGAAGGCAAGTGGAGGCAAAAGAAAAGAAAGTTAACAGACAACTGAAAACACAAGCAAAACACACACTGCCATTAAGAGGAAGGTGAGAAGGAAATCCAGCCGAACTGCTATTTTCGTTGTTATTTCTATTGCCGGCATTATTGTTGTTGTTGGTTTTCTTACTGTTGTTGTTGGCTTTTTTTTGTGTTTAGTTTTGTACAGTTAAGTTTCTTTTTTATTGTATTCCTATTGTTGTCAACGTGTTTGTAGATGGCGATTGTATAGTATGTATCATTATCGCTGCCATTGTTGTTGTTGTTGTTGTTGTTGTTGTTGTTGTTGTTGTTGCTGTTGTTGTTGTTGTTGCTATTATTATTCCTTTTGTTGATTTTGATCTTGTTGTTGTTGTTGTTGTTGTTGTTCGTAATGATGATGATGATGATGATGATGATGATGATGATGATGATGATGATGAGGATGATAATTTATGGAGGTGGGTAATTCTAACACTGATTTTTAAAAAATGAAGTGATTTCAAAGAAACAAGCAAACAAAATGTAAAGGAAGTACTGACATGGCTAAAGAGACAGTAAAATAAGCACAATGCACATTGAAACAGTTAGGGTTGGTGGGATTGGTGGGAACGGGGTGGG